TTACTTCTGTTTCCTCTAAACTGCTGCCAAGATCAGCCATTTTAACCAAAGCCTCATTGAGGTCTTGATCTTTCTTTTCAACAATTCTCAAGTGCATTTCCTTAACGTGTCTCAGCTCTTCTTCCTTTTCTTCCAGCACCTTCTGTGCGCTCTGGAATTGATCTGATACTTTCTCATACAACTGCTCCAGCTTATCATAGTTGCTCTCTTCCATTTTCAACTTTGCTTGCAGCTTGGCAACTTCATTATCTGACTCTTCAACCTGATTCATCAGTTCTTGGAACCTACATTTGATCTGATCTCTCTCCCGTTCAAGTTCCTTGATGTCCTCAGCAAGCTTCTGGATGCTGGCCTCCTTCATCTCCAGTTGCTCCTCTAGCTGGTGGACAATCTCACTGCCTTCAAACTTGGCACTGAGTTTCTCTTTCTGAAGTATTTCCATCTGCTGCTCATTGTTTTGAAGTTGATTCTCATACTCGCTGGCCTTATCCTCCACCTCCTTCAAACTCTGAATTAAAATCTGCTTTTCCTTCTCACAGCTTTCCAACAAAGCCTCATAATTCTTCTGCAACTTTTCCTCCATTAGGATCCGAGCCTGTTCGCTAGTATTCAGCTGCCTACTCAGGTCTGCTATCCTGTCCTGGAGCCTCTGCACTTCTTTCTGGTGGTCCCTCTGTAAAGCCTGTTGCATTTCAAGATCCCTCAGCTCCTGCGTCTTTTCCAGCAGCAGTGCCTCTGCATTCTTTAGCTTTTGCTCACTTGCTTTTAACTGGGAGCTCAGAGTGGTCTCACTGTGCTGCCACTCCTCCAGCTGCTCTTTGGCTTTCTCCTTCTCACTCTTTAAGTCGCTCTTCAGCTTGGCCAGAGTTTGCTCTTTGATGGATAGCTCAGCTGCAGCATTACTGAGCCTTGCCTGTAGGCTCTGAATCTCCGCTTCATGATGCCGGATCACATCCTTTGCCTCACCATAGCTACGCTTCAGTGACTGGATCTGCTGATTGATCAGCTCCTGACGCTGGCACTGAGCTTCCAGCTCACTTTGGAGGTCTTGATTGACTTTATGGAGCCTCTGCCAGGCACCCGACGGTGAGGCTGCCACCTCGGTCTTAAAAAAATTAATTAAATACTAAATTAGTAATACTTGAGTCCCAGTTCTGAGTGTCACACCTCTGGCCAGGTCTGGCCATAGGAAAGCTCCTTGGATTGTTTTGACTGCTACCCACATGGTCCAATTTTGGAAGGTTTCTGTTCTTGGTACATAATTTTTTTTAACCAACTTTTTTTGTTTGTTTGTTTTTTTTAAAGGGAATGATAGCGGCTTCTGATGAACAGAAAATACACATGATAACACTGAAACAGCTCTAAGGTAACAGGCTATGAGAAACAAGTAAAAAAACCTAAAACAATGGAAAAGGAAACAATAGGAAATAAAACAGACAAAAGAGTAGGAGGGAGTGAGGACGAGAAGGAGGGAAGGAAACAGGCTGGGGAGAAAAGAGTGGCTCTATTTAGTGTGTTTGTTTAGTTGGTGTGAAACAAAAAGTGCACAGTTGCAGGTAAAGTCCTTCAGAACAAAAACAGTAACAGAAAGTGAGGCTGAAAGTAAATGACATCACTTCCTGCCAAGCCACAGGAAGAGGAGATGGCTGCCATAATGATGTCATTTCTGTTATGGCTAAACAGGCTTCTTCATCTGATTGCTCATCTTTTAAAAAAAAAATCTTATTACTAAAATCTTAAGAGTAAGGAGGAGCTAATCTTTCTACCTGTAAAAAAAGACAAGTGAAAGGGAAAACACAGGTATGATGAGAATGTAAAATAAAAACAAACAAACCTTTGTGAGATTCAAACCAAAGTAGTGTAGCATGCAAAGAGAAAACTCACAAAGAGAGTCATGCATAAGTCGACAGAAATTATATATCTTTAAGAGAAATACACAAATGAGAAGAGGCAAAAGAAGCACAGTGTTAAGCCTAGGAATTTGGCCTGCTTTCACAGATGTGACACTCAGTTATGTTACATTAAAGTCATGCTTAACACCAAAACATGCAAGAATGTCCACCCCGGAGAGGTTAGTAAAGTGACTCCCTCCCTCACCAGCACTGGAAGACAGTTCAGGTATCGAAAAGAAAAAGCGCGAGTGCTAGCGCTTTCCCACCAGTTAGAATTCAAAGGGTTCAAGATATTTCTATTGTGATTAAACTTATCAGCAAGAAATGTCAGAGGGGGTTACAAGAGCTCAGAAAGGGCTTCAGTGCAAGGTGCATGCGTCAGTACTGGCTATTGTTCAACAGTTTTGATATGATTAAGAAATGTGCAGATTGTTTGAGGCCAGTCTAGAGCCAACAATGTTCATGCCCATGAAAGGTATCTGTTAAAGGGTAAGGCCTGGGCATGGGCAAGACCTTAAAAATGCAGGAGCTCCATTCAGGTAAGCACTCTAAAGTGTACTCAGACTTTCTGGGTCTGCAGAGTAGTGCCGAAATTAAAGATCCATACATTCCACTGCAGGGCCCATACAATCATTTAGTCTGACCTCCTGTACGACACAGGCCAGAGTAGGTTTCTAATATAACAGAGCATAACTTTAAGAAAAACATCCAAACTTGATTTAAAAACTGCTAGTGGTGGGGCACCAACCATGACCCTTAATAAATTGATGGTTGACCGGGAACAGGGTTCTTGCTGGACTAGAAACACTCAATTTTCACATGGAATTTTGGCTCTGCTCCTTCCCACCCAACTTAGGAAATACAAAGGCAGCCATCAAAGGCAGGGAGGGGGAAGACAGACATTTTCAAACTCTTAAAAAAGGTTTAAATCATGGGTTCCCAAACTGGGGGGCATGCCGAAATTCCAGGGGGAGCACAAGGTGACTCAGCCTCCCCCTCCCCAATCAAGTTTTGCTGCTATGGGGGAGTTGGGGGGGAGGGGGGGTTTCAAAAAATCAAAAAAGGGAGCGTGATGCCGAAAAGTTTGGGAACCACTGGTTTAGATGAAAAAGTGGGCTGGTTGGTACTATATTAGAGCTGACTTGCCCCCACCAGCTGGGGTATTTGATTCTTGCTCTTAGTCCTAATTTCAAAGGCACTAAGGTCAACTCAATGTCAAGCATGGTGAAGCAGGTTTTGGTAGCCAATTTTGTGCTAGTCTACTATTTGCTAGGCTCCAGTCTCAGGGAGGTAGGAAGCTGCGGTTGGTCTGTTGTTGGGGAAATGTGGGATCCTGCCCAGGGCCTATAGCCAAAATTGAACTGCTGCCATAACAGAAGATCAAACACAGACTAAGAGGAGGAAGCTACAGCTGCAGATAATGAAGTGGCAAATCCAATGGACATTTGGAAATCTGCTAATATACACAGGAATTGTCTAGCTTTCTTCTTCCCGCCCCATTGGAGGGCCCCTCCAAGACCTTTATCCCTCCCCTACAAGCCCTTTTTCTTGTCAGCTCTTCTACTTCAAGGGGACTAAGTAGAGCTCCCAAGTCTGGTCGGCAGTCGCACGTTGAGAGAAGGTCTCCCCACTTGGAAACTGATGGTGCTTTCCCTGCAGTGCAGGTGGCTACTTTGCTAGGCCCATTTAGTTTTCGTCCTGGAAGGATCTCCACTCATTTCAAACCCTAGGGAATCCCTCCCTCCTCAGAGACCCCAGTTTGCGACTCCCTCCTTCCAGACAAACACTGCACAGGAGGCTCTTTGTAGCTCCTCAGTGCAGCTTGAATTGTAAGTCCTGGGGCAGGGACTGTGTCTTCCTATATATTCACACAGCAGGGGTCCTTAATCCTGACTGGGGCCTCTGAGCCTTCCCATACTACAAATACCAACAGATAAATCCCTCTCAGCCAGAGGGGTAACCGGGCACACATGGTGCTTCTTGCCTTCCTTGGACTGAGCCTTTTATGACAAACTCAGCCCCTTCCCTTTGTCTCCCCTCCCCACTACCATGTGGCTCTGCAGAGCACAGCCATTAGCCAACTTGTCCCACAGCACATTTGACCATACAGAACTCAGCAGCTAAAACTCCACCTAGATCTCAGGAAAAGGAATTCTTGCTGAGCCAGCCTGCTGCAGCTCCACAGGCTTTGCCTTTTCTTTCAGGGGCACTGCTGGAGACTTCTTGAGCTGTATCTAAGAGCCTATCAGAGAACGGGGAGAGAATAGCTGCAGCTCCTCTCTCCTTTCCTAACCGCTCCAAATGCAAGTCCAGGCCTGGTTCAGAGCCACCAGCCTTTAATACAGCCACTGTGTTCCCTAAGAAAGGCCGTGTGGCCAGAGGAGAATTTAGAGCCATAAATGCACAGGAAAAAGGAGATGGGACTCTGTGCACACATCAACATCTGACATCCAAGTGAACTTTGTCAAGGTTGCATCCACAATGCCTCTAGGGTTCATTTTCCTTGAGTGGAATCTTAGGGTACGTCTAGATTACATCCCTCTTTCGACAGAGGGATGTAATTTAGGCACTTCACAATTGCAAATGAAACCGGGATTTGAATTTCCCGCGCTTCATTTGCATAATCACATAATGGCGCTCTTTCGAAAAAGTGCTATTTCGAAAGTAAAACCATGGTCTAGATGTTTACAGGAACTTTTGAAAAAGCCTTCTGTAAACATCTAGGCCATGGTTTTACTTTCGAAATAGCACTTTTTCGAAAGAGCGCCATTATGTGATTATGCAAATGAAGCGCGGGAAATTCAAATCCCGGTTTCATTTGCAATTGTGAAGTGCCTAAATTACATCCCTCTGTCGAAAGAGGGATGTAATCTAGATACAGCCTTAGTGGCCATCATATCTTCTGTGTCTACACACAAATGCTCTTTTACGAAGCTGGGAATGGATGATGGCAGCATTTAAGACAGGCTAAAGACTCTTGGGGCACAGTAGGTTTTGTACTGTTCTGGTCCATGCTGGATGCACTCACGAGCACCCTGGACTGAAGCCCGACAGGTTCATTTGCAGGTGCAGCGATAGATGGGAGATGTTGCTCTCTCGCTCTCCTACCTGCAACACGTAACCTTCCCTGGCACTCTGCTCTCTGCCCAGGGCCACCTTCAGCTGGTCCTGCAGGACCCGGTTCTGCTCCAGGAGGTCCGACGCCTCCTTCTGACTCTGCTCCAACTGTTGGAAATGGACAAAGACAGAAGCCTAAGGGCTGGCTGAGGAAGCATAGGAGGAAGTGGTTCAAAAGCACTCAGCATGGAGCTCTCTCCTCTTGTCCCTCTAGGAGTTGAGCTTTATTTAATATGACCAACCCTCCTCCCTGAGACTAAATACCCCAAACCTCAACATTGTGAATTTAGTTAACGCTCAAAGCTCGCTGAAATGAGGGATTAACAGCACTGGAAGGAGCCAGGCATAATCCAGACAAGCTCTCCTTCCCCCCAACCACAGCTCATTTCTGACTGGCACTGCTCTTGGCTAGTCCAGTCTTGGGCCCCTTAGAGCTCTGTTAATACACTTTAACTCTGACCTGCGGCAACCGATTCGTGTCATACCAGACATGGGGCGCTTCAAGTGAGCTGAGCTTCCTATCCCTCCTTTAACTAATTTATGCCATCAACTTTCTTTTCGGTTTTCAGCAACACAAGACTGCTCATTGTAGGTGGCAGATAACCAGAACCAGCTTTGTACACTTACAAGGTGTGTGGGTCAGCTGAGCTGTGTGCACATGTGCACGCGCGCTCACACACACACACACACACACACACACACACAAAATCACACTCAGAATTACAAGGTCAGAAGCGGACACCTGATTTCAGAGAGCATTAATACACTTGGACTGGGTTCAGGACCTGCTCAGGTCACCATGGAAGGCTTGTTACCAACCACCACAGCCTCTGGGCTGGATTGCAAAGGATCCCCATTGCATTAACTGTCCTTCCAGGAGACGTGGAAGCAGGGAAAAGCCAATCAAATTGGAAGAGAAAGGGAAACACCAGGGCTACGAGCCTGGTCCCTGTATTTCCCCCAAAGGGGCCCTATAGTGTCCACTTATCCCCTTTGCTCTTAATGGAGCAATACAGTCAACCTGTGACAACCTTCCAGCTGCAACCTGCCCTGGTGTAATGTGAGGGCCCATTGCCACATAGACTAAAGAGCCCTTTGGAGCCAAAACCCTGGCCTGCTCCCTACTCTCATTTTACCTCCTTCTCCAACAGCGAGGTTAGCTGCTGCTTGTGGAGCCCTTCATCTCTGTCATCTGGGTGAGCCAGGTGCAGGGGCATGATGGGGATTTGCTTCTCCTCACGCAGAGGGGTCGTCTCCACCTGGTGCCATCGCTGCTCAATCTCCACATGAACATTCTGTGGCTTCACCTCCCCCGTGAGGGGCAGGCCCGGGATCCTGTCCACCTCCATCCTCAACATGTCCTCTGGGCCTGCCCCATCAACAGCATCGATCATCTCAAAGCGCTTGCGTCTCTCCTCTCTCCGCCGAGCACGCTCCCGTTCCAGCTCCCCGGGGTCTGTGTCCGAAGTGCTGTGTTCCCTGGGGAAGGCTGCGGAGCTGCTCTTCGAGGACTCTGCCGCAATGGCTCTTTCCTGCGCCAAGGCTTGCTGAATGGGGCGGAACTCAGCCCAGTCAAAGGTTTTGGAGCGCCCCTCTCGCCGGCGCTCCCGGGCACGGCTCCGCTTCTGCTCAGGGTCCATCTCAGCTGGGTCCAAGTCCTGCTTCTCATTTGGCTTTGGACAGGTCTCAAAGGAAGAGCTGGTTTTGCTTTTCTCTTCTGGCAAGGAGCTGTGAGGACAGAGGAGGAAAGAGAAACATCTGTCAGCCCTCTAAAGAGATTCAGTCCCATGCTCACACTTGGGCCCAGAGAGCCACTGCCCAGGGACATGACCAAAGCCCACTGAAATGCCACGTGCGTTCCTGGGCATCCCTCTCCCACCATCATTGATGCTCGTCATGATAGCTGGAGTTAGGCCAGGAGCTAATGCTCTCCTTTCCCCTTGGACTCTGTGTAGGAATTTAGTGCTGACAAAAGGTGCCAGGGGGTAGCCCTAGGACACACAGCCCTTTAGTTTATCAGCAAAGTAGGGAAGCAAATTTCCCCACCCTGTCCCCTCACCAAACACACCCTGCTAGCAATGAGGGGAGTACTCTCTACGCTGCTCTCATGGGACTTGGACTCCTTCGTTAAGACTGTTGACGAAGGGTCCAGTGGCAGTGCTGGGATGTGGGCACTTGTCCACTGGGAAGAGAGCTGAGGCCAAAGCAGCCACCCTTAAGTGCTAATTTTATCATTAACACCACAGGCAGGTTTTGAACAGCACATCCCCTTGGAGCCGTCCAATCCACCCCCCCGTGAAGCCCTCCTTCTAACCAGCAAGAGCCTTCCACCCAATTCATTTAATGAAGCCACGTGTGTTCACCGCAATACTGCAACTGGTCACTACCACAGCCATTCTGGGATGTAGTAGCTTCAAAAAGGCATGAAGACGGAGACTGATATTCCGCAGCAAGAGCAGAGGAAGCACAGGGCAGCACATGACCATCTGAGAGGGATTGGTAACACCTTTAACGTTTTTCTGATCTTGGCAAAGGCTCTCCATCTACAACCGTTTCACCCAAAAACTTCTCCAGGCTACACTGCACCAAACACACTGGCCCCTGAAATTGTAACACACAATAGTCCTGGACTCCTAGACCATGTGCTCTTATGCTTCCCCCGCTGGACCAGCAGCAGCCCACGAGCTGCGCACACTTCTGCAAATGTTACTGATGATTCCAAATGCTCAAACAAGTAAACAAACCAAAGGAAGCAATGACCCTCTAGTGCCGAGATAGAGGGGAGTGGAGGTGGTGGTGGGGAAGATGAATGCTTGTCAAGCAGGAAAGGGTAAAGTCAGTAGAAGGACAGCCTACATAAAGTCTGGGATTATTCAATAGAAATATAGACATGCCAGCCTTATACATGCAGATTAGAATAAAACAAATAAAATGGCAATAAGCCAGCTCCATGGAATGATTCCCACAGAATAACTCTGGAGGATCCCGGAGGCATTCACTCACATCTTGCTGGTCAGAGAGCCCCAAGTGGTGCCATTTCCCAGTAACTGCACCCATGTGGTTGAATTCACCTTCTGCTTGACCAGCCTTTCCTACCTCTGCCCTGATCTTGCCCCTTCAAGCGACAGCATGCCCACATCTGTACTTAGCTAAGTACATTTGTGTTCCGCCAACTTGGATGCATCAAGCTGCCTAGCTTTCTATGAAGGGGTAGTGAAGAGAGCCATCAAGCCTCCGTACAGGGCATTCACTGCAGCAAACTAAAATTAATGTGGTGCCCTAACCTGGAGGGACAGGTGTGAAGAGTGCCAGTATTTACAGCTGGCATGCCAGAAGAGGACTACCTTAGAGTATTTACAACAAAAAGATTCCTCCCCAACTGTGCCCCACCTAAACTCATTACACTCCATATGTGCACATACTCAAACAATGCAACATAAGGAAATGACTCTGCATGGTTCCTATGCTAGTATCTTCCGATGCACTTTTCACCCACCACCATCACGCTACAGGCTCAGGTTGGCTTAATTTTAAGACACTCTTGCCATTTCAAGTTTGTCTTTGAAAATCAGCCTAGAAACACACACTTCAGCCTTGCCCCCTTGCAACTAACAAAAGAAACTTCCATATTGCACCATGATGGAATTGCACCATTCGAGTTCAGAGCCAATTTTGACCTTCATGCTTTGAGGCTAGATGTCTCCAAAGCAAACCAGTCTGGTTAGCTGGTTAACACAGCAATTTGAACAGGAGTCATTGTCTTGAAACTGAACAGGGGTTGAGAGCCAAGGGAATCCCTGGACTCTTAGCCACTGCCAGAAGTCTGAAATGATACAGCTCTGATCCCAGATGTCTCAGACTTGAGAATGTCCTGTTGCCATATCTGTTATCAGCTTATTTCCCCTCTGCGCATTCCAGACTGGCACAGATTATGTGTCACGTAATAGGAACAGCATTTAGAAACAAATTTAGGAGGACACAGTGACACTGATCTAGAAGATAAAAAAAGCCTTAGAACTGCCCAACAGCCCACGCATTGCCATTATTAATGTTTGACTTTTTCCAGTCTCGGACCCATTTTTCTCCTTCCGTTCAAATGAGTTAACTCAACCCATACTAGCCCTGGAAAGCTACTCACAGGCCAGAAGGATGGGGTGGAGGGAGGTTTTTAATTACTGCAGGGAAAGTGGTTAGTGCTCCTTTTAGTAGTTAGGTCAGGAACACCGTGTGGTAGAGCTAAAAAATGGTGTGAAATTGGCAGGCAATTGCAGTTTGAGTTGGCTTGGAGACGGAGCCCAAGTAGGAGGTGGATGGATTTCAGCATGTAAAGAAGGACCCACTTGCTGTGTTGAGCCCATTCATTTTTGTTCTTTTCTTTGTTGAGAGGTGATTAGTCTGATCCAACTAACATCTTTGCACTTAGACTGTGAGCTCTTTGAGAGCAGGGACCATCTTTTTGTTCTGGTTTTATGCAGCTCCTAGCACAATGGAATCCTGGGCCATGACTGAGGCTCCTAGGTGCTACCACAATGCAAATATTAATCCTGTGTTTAAAACAGGCACATTGGATGTAGTGGATTTCAGAAGCCATAACACAGGGCAAATAAAGATGTTAAAAGGAGATTGAAGTGAGTTGGGTTTATCAATCCAGCTCCTAGTGGAGAGTAGGTTTATAAAAAGTCATTTAAAAATTTAACTGTGTAAAAATTCCTAGTGGTTCCATGCACTGCGGTCTCTGCAGCATAAAGCTGCAGATGCTTCTCTGGGACCACACTCCTGGGGAGACTTCGCTGTGGGCTCTGCAGCCGGTTCCCAGGAGTGGGGCTGGTGCTGGCATGAAATGTGCAGCAGGGAGGCTGAGCCAGTCCTGTCCCGGACAGGGGCTGCTCTGGCTAGCTGGCAGAGCAGCTCCTGTCTGTGGTGGGCCCTGCAGGAATGGAGTTGTCCCCTGCCCAGGGCAGGAGGGGAGTTGCCCTAGCCCCTACTGGTTAATTGGAACAGGTAAGCTTCACCCATTAAGGATGAGGCTTACTGGTTCGCTGGTTAACCATTTACATCCCTACTGGAGATACTGACAACAGCAAAGCCACCAACACAGTTGGTCACCACAGGGGCAATTTCAGCAGATTTACCATATGCTGAACTGACCATGAAGACTAAACTGCTCCAACTTGACATGGGGCATAGATCATCCTACTAGCACTGCAGGATAAAACACTCCCTTGACATGAGGCATAGATCATCCTACTAGCACTGCAGGATAAAACACTTGCAAGCCCACAGCCCCACGAGCCTCCTGATCTCTGGCAGTCAGCTGCACAGAATTCCTGTCTACTAGCCTTTGTAGAATGTGCACACGGTACCAACTTGGAAGAAGATAGGTGGGGGCACCCAGTGCATTGAGACACACCCCAGGATAAGTGCTCTACTGGGATCATAATTAATGGTTTTCTCTATGTTTGGGTAGTTCCAACTTAGCTGTGGAGAAAGAGGCTCAAATAGTTCCAATCCACATCACTAATAAAATTCACTCATTACACAAAAATTCTGAAACGAGCTAAATTAACTATTGCAATTTACCTAGATTTAATTTTGCTAACTTGACAAAACAGGAATTTACACAACTACTTAGAGGTTTAACTATCCCTGCTAATTTATTTGGTCTTGTCCAGCTTCATAACTATGCACATCGGAAGATACCATTGGGTGGAAACCAAATATCAAGACCAGGTTGCTTCTTCCTTTCTCTCTCATTTTAATTTTAAAAATAAATGAAAATTTCGGAGCTTTCTATCTGGAGTGCAGAAAACGGGGAGCATGCAGTGACTCACAAGAGATACAAACCACAGAACGTTAATACAGGAGAGAACACAGTTTTCCAACCTGGGCTTCAGCACCGATAGTTTCAAAGAGAAGTTTTTCCTGGGAATGCATGGAAATCAAACATATGCAGGAGTGAGGAAAAAGGAGAATTCCTGGAGAGCCACGAGAGATTCACCAGCCAACTCAGCCAGAGGTGGGGGTGTATCTGAGTGGGCGAGGGGAAGAGATCATGGATCATCTCTGGATAGACAGCACTGGGTGGAGAGAACTCTTCCACTAATGCTAAGGGAAATCAGGCAAATTCAGTTGCTGCCAGTTGAGGACAGATAAGAGAAAGTATAACTGTGTGGGTGCATCTTCATTCACTACATGACAGCCAGCCAGGAACCCAGGGATCAGGATGCCTGTGGCTTGATGCAGTGCCAAACCACAATAATGTTTAGCTGAGAGAAAGTAAAGAGCACACTTCACCCACAGCTGCAAGGTCTGACACCAGTTACTATATGAAATTTGTGGGTGCCTGCCTCATGTACTGACTGTGGTCACTCCATGTCTTATGTGAAGGGGAAGAAGTTGCTTCAGCTATTGAGAAGGTTAAAGGAGAAGAAATGCTTCTCACTAAGGCATCTGCTGAGGTATTCCATGGAGGTGACAGGCTGATCTTGCTGGAGAGGGGAAAGGGGACACCCAATATAAGCAGCCCCTAGCCAGGGGTTGCACACACATCGAAGAATGTCCACAAATACAGGCGTATCCCCACATCTGTGCCTCTAGGTCAGGCAGGAGGTGTGCAAATGACTAGTAGGAAATAGGAGCATTCCTTCAGCTTCCATCGGCAGATGCAACTGGTTGCACATGGGTGTGCACAACAGGAGGAACTCTGACTCTGTCCTGTGCTGACTGCAAAAGCAGCAGGAGAGCAAAGGGTGCCCAGCCTAAGCCAAGAAAATGGGAGCGGCCAGAACACTGAGTGGGAGGGACTAGAAACAAACAAACATCCAGAAAGGGGATGGGTATTTCTGCACAGCAACAGAGAGGATAGAGGGGAATGGTTAAGACGACAGACATGCACATCATACTTTTTCTAGTTCTATACCTGGTCACATCTGGAGCGGTAGTGGGGCGAACATGCTTCATGATTGTCTGGATCCAGTTTCGTCGAATCCCAGAGGTCATGGCAGAGAGGGTGAATTCTCCTTCTTTTGTCTAGGCAGAGAGAAGAAGCAGGTCAACATGGCCGATTCTATTGAGAAGCACTTCCCTTCCCTTCAACGTGTTGCCAGCACTCGCTCCCCAGACCCTACTCTTCACCCCTCAGCACAGAGACTCTAGAAATCTAGGTCATACTGCAGTACTGTTTAGACAAGCCCCGAGTTTGCTAGTATTTCACTCAAGTCCTTCAGAACATCTTCACTGGGCATTTGTGAGAGAACATCAACTCCATCCCCATTTCTTTCCAACACCTCTTGAGCAAAACATGAACCTATGGACTAGCCAGTCACATGCTTCAGGGCACAAGCCGGCCAGCCTCTGAGGGGAGTCAGGAAGACATTTCCCTTCCCATAGGACAGGCTCCACAGACAAATGTTTTATAAGAGTGGTTTCATCTGTCTGATCCAGCCAGCACTGGTGACTGACCGCTGAGTTTGTTGGGACAAGGAAATATCTGCTATCCTCACACCAACTGCTCCCCACAGCAGCAGCATTCCCAGTTCCTGACACGTTCTTACATGGATCTGGAAGCCATAGTTTCGCTGAACTGGATATTCAGTTACGTCATAGCACGTAGACAAATCAATTTCTCCATCCAGATCAGCTGCCTGGGGAAGAGAGGAAACCATAAGGATTATTGCACACGAAAAGCGGCATCTAACACAATGTCACTTAGGAAGCTTCTCCACGTGATCCGTGGTCTCATTCTCAGCATCAAGGATGAGACACACAGTAGAAGCCACACAAACCCATCCCCATGGATGTTCCAGCCCCATCATGGCCCCACAGAGTTGGAATAAAAAGAGGGAAAAAAGCAGCTTTGATTTCGGGCTGCACCAAGTCTACCTCTCACTGAATCTCCGAGGGCTGGGAGTCTGAGCATGAGCTCTGTTAGGGATGCTCTTGATGCAGGAAGCACCCAATTAATTTCAAAGTACCCCCAGGCTTTCTGCTCTTCAGTGCCCTTGCAAGGCACAAACACAAATCCAGGAACCTGAACTTCCCACCCAGAATGACTCAGCCATGCTCATATGGAGAACTGCAGGAGCAATGCTGGGAGTCGGACCCACTGGAGCCATTTGGGACTTATTGGACTGTTAAGTGAATAGGGTTTAAGCTCTGAAGGGAGACACCTACCTCCTCTGCCACGGAGTCCCTGTAGTATCTGAGGCTCTGATCCGTCAGCACAAACCAGTGTTTCTTCCACTAGGAAACAAAACAAGGCAGGCTCTTTAACAAGCTGTTCCTTTCCCACGCCCAGGGTGGCTGTGGCATAGTTGACTATCCCCTCTGCTACCTAAACCGCTGGGCAGACTGCAACTACCAGCTTCGTGCTCTGGTGGGACACGCGCTCTCACAGCTGAAAGCCAGTACAAAGATCAATGAGGGGGAAGAGATGCTGGGGTGAATCCAGCACGTGGCCTCCACCTATGGGATCTTCTCCTGTCTGAGTGGCCATGTTTGTTTAGCACACAACAGTCTGAGTTGTAAAGGATCCACACTCAGTGGTGATATAGGGCCATGGCCAGAAAAATCACCACAAATACGCTGTGTCTCTTGGATCTGCAGAGTCCTACCCTTTCAGTTTACGGACAAATTGTCGGGTTTAATGGCGGCATTCTTCGGCTCAGAAGGACGCGTTCTTTATGATTTATGAATTTGGATGGGGGATTCCTGTTTAGTTCTGGAGTGTACAGGAATTGGGTGGTTTTCCTTTAACTAGTTCATTTATGACCCTTCTAGTGGCACTCCCTGTATGTGATTCAGAGGCCCCCACAATCTCGCTAGAGCAGCAGTGTGTACCCGTAGCTAGGCGTTGCATTTTGCATGCATTTAGTATCAATTATTTGGACCCCGCTCATTGTGTTTGCGAGGGTTCTTCATATTATATCTATTGTGTTAAGAGCAAAAACCTCAATTTCCAAATATTTTCCCCTTTTTTTGGCTAAAGTACTCAACTATTATTATTTATATTACTGTTCCGCTTAGAAGTCCTAGTAATGGACCATAGTCCCCATTGCATTAAATACTTTACAAACCCGGAACAAAATTCTGCCCCAAAGAGCTTACAATTTTACATGAGAAAAGCCATGCTGGGTCAGACCAATGGTCCAGGTCTTCTAACAGTGGCCAGTTCCAGATACTTTTGAGTGAACAGAACACGACAAATGATCTAGTCCCAGCTTCGAGCAGTAACATAAGAATGGCCATACTAGGTTAGACCAATGAGCCATCGAAGTACGAGACAGGACACAAAGGATGGATACAGAAGTTTCTTTCAGAACTCACATTCTAGCCCTTCATTCCAAGTGTGGTAGCTAATAAAAATCAGTGTTTAATAAGTTAATTTTCTGCTGTGCTGCCAGGGAGATTTGAGTTCCTCCATCCAAGAGAACCAGATCAAACCGTTCTGTTTTCCTTCCTAAGTGTTGCCTCTCAATTACACTGCACTTGTGCTTCCAGCCAGAGCACTTTTGGGGACCCACAGTGGCTGCCTCAAGCATCCTATGGATGGGCGAGAGCTAGGGGATTATCTGGGGGCCTGGTGTGGTGACAGCAGGGGTCGCCCCTCTCACTCACTGCAGCAGTGGAAACAGGAAGGGCCAGGCTGCCTGCTCCGCTCCACCCCACCACCCTCTCCTGGCCCGTTGCACATGGCTTCGCAGTGGTGGTGGAAACAGAGCACCACAGTCCCAGGGTGCTCCATTTCCCACTGCCATAGAGAAGCAGGGCGCAGCTGGCCAGAAGGGTGGTGTGGCAGGGCAGAGCAGGCTGCTGGGCCTCTCCAGTTCCCACCGCTGTGGTGAGTGCAGGAAGGGAGCTGATCCCTGCTGCCACTGCACCAGATGTACATAATCTCCTGGGCTGCATTGCTTGGAGGTGGGGGCAGAACAGGGATGGTGCTTAGGGAAGGGGTAGAGCAGGGGCAGTGCCAGCGGTATCTGGGAGGGTTGCCTGGGGCCCCAACCTCCCTCGGGATGGTCCTGCTTCCAGCCATTTTTGGACACAAAGAAAAAAACATTTCCCGATGAGAACTGAACCCTTTCAAACCTAAGAACATGAGAACGGCCATACTGGGTCAGACCAAAGGTCCATCTAGCTCAGTGCCCTGTCTTCCAACAGTGGCCAATGCCAGATGCTCCCAAAGAGACTGAAATGAATAGGCAATCATCAAGTGATCCCTCCCCTGTTGCCCATTCCCAGCTTTTGGCAGACAGAGGTTAGGGACACCATTCCTACCCTGGATCTCCTCTCCCAATTTGCAGTACCCCCAAAAGAGCTGGCTCTCTTTTGATTCCAGACTGCAGGGCTGGGGATTAATAGAAGGGGCAGAGCCTAGATCTTCACACAGCAGCAGCAGGAGAGCACTGCTAAACTGAATGCACTGGATGCACAAAGAAGCAAAGAACAAACATTTCATTTTCACAGTTAGTCAGTCAGTCAGTCACTCTCCTGATGGTAAGAGCATTCTGAGCACAGAATAGACTCCCCATCAATTCTCCAAGTTGCAGCCTCGGTAGCCTAGCCCCAGCTTACACACAGACCACATCATTGCCTGCCAACCCCATGTAAATCATTTGCTCCCGTGTCCTCCGCAAACGGATCGGGGGGAGGGGGAAGACATGGAGAAAATCAAGGGAGGGGTTTATTTATAAAGAATAAAATGAGCTCAGTCACAGCCCCATATCACTGCCAGCCTTTAAGGCTGTAGGAGCTGAGCACTTAACCAAGGGGAAGGAGAGAGAGGTGGGAAGCTGGTGCTTCCATTAGTGCCTTAATGGAGACATTTTTATTTAATCTAATTGCTTGCTCACATCACTTCTGTGATTCTGCGCATGCCTGTTCTGCACCTGAAGCTGAAGAGGTGGCTGTGACCACAAGGGAAAAGGGTTCAAGAGAACTAATGCTACAGCCCACGCTGACCTCAGCTCCCTAGAAACTCACTAAATGACAGTCAGGTGCTGGGGTCTGAATCTTCTGCAATGCAGAAGGCCAGCCATTCCTGCCTAGGCAGACCCTGCTTGTGTGCTGGTGTGTGGGGTGGGGCAGATATGTGGAGCTCACATAGCAACGGCTGCCTGGCCTGTGCCATGCTGTGGATTTGACAGAGCTCTCCCTGCACACTGTTGCCAAGATGCCTCCATCTGGTCTCCCAAGTATAAAACAGGGCTAATCCAGAGCTACCTTGCAGGGGCAGTAGAGATTTGTTACTGTGGGAAGGTGGAAAGTGCTATACAACATCTCTCTCCCTCTCCCTTATTAATCTGTTTTTGGCTAAAGTACTCAACTATTATTATTTATATTACTGTTCCGCTTAGAAGTCCTAGTAATGGACCATAGTCCCCATTGCATTAAATACTTTACAAACCCGGAACAAAATTCTGCCCCAAAGAGCTTACAATTTTACATGAGAAAAGCCATGCTGGGTCAGACCAATGGTCCAGGTCTTCTAACAGTGGCCAGTTCCAGATACTTTTGAGTGAACAGAACACGACAAATGATCTAGTCCCAGCTTCGAGCAGTAACATAAGAATGGCCATACTAGGTTAGACCAATGAGCCATCGAAGTACGAGACAGGACACAAAGGATGGATACAGAAGTTTCTTTCAGAACTCACATTCTAGCCCTTCATTCAAAGTGTGGTAGCTAATAAAAATCAGTGTTTAATAAGTTAATTTTCTGCTGTGCTGCCAGGGAGATTCGAGTTCCTCCATCCAAGAGAACCAGATCAAACCGTTCTGTTTTCCTTCCTAAGTGTTGCCTCTCAATTACACTGCACTTGTGCTTCCAGCCAGAGCACTTTTGGGGACCCACAGTGGCTGCCTCAAGCATCCTATGGATGGGCGAGAGCTAGGGGATTATCTGGGGGCCTGGTGTGGTGACAGCAGGGGTCGCCCCTCTCACTCACTGCAGCAGTGGAAACAGGAATGGCCAGGCTGCCTGCTCCGCTCCACCCCACCACCCTCTCCTGGCCCGTTGCACATGGCTTCGCAGTGGTGGTGGAAACAGAGCACCACAGTCCCAGGGTGCTCCATTTCCCACTGCCATAGAGAAGCAGGGCGCAGCTGGCCAGAAGGGTGGTGTGGCAGGGCAGAGCAGGCTGCTGGGCCTCTCCAGTTCCCACCACTGTGGTGAGTGCAGGAAGGGAGCTGAGCCCTGCTGCCACTGCACCAGATGTACATAATCTCCTGGGCTGCATTGCTTGGAGGTGGGGGCAGAACAGGGATGGTGCTTAGGGAAGGGGTAGAGCAGGGGCAGTGCCAGCGGTATCTGGGAGGGTTGCCTGGGGCCCCAACCTCCCTCGGGATGGTCCTGCTTCCAGCCATTTTTGGACACAAAGAAAAAAACATTTCCCGATGAGAACTGAACCCTTTCAAACCTAAGAACATGAGAACGGCCATACTGGGTCAGACCAAAGGTCCATCTAGCTCAGTGCCCTGTCTTCCAACAGTGGCCAATGCCAGATGCTCCCAAAGAGACTGAAATGAATAGGCAATCGTCAAGTGATCCCTCCCCTGTTGCCCATTCCCAGCTTTTGGCAGACAGAGGTTAGGGACACCATTCCTACCCTGGATCTCCTCTCCCAATTTGCAGTACCCCCAAAAGAGCTGGCTCTCTTTTGATTCCAGACTGCAGGGCTGGGGATTAATAGAAGGGGCAGAGCCTAGATCTTCACACACTGGGCTCAGCTGCACTGGCAGCAGCAGGAGAGCACTGCTAAACTGAATGCACTGGATGCACAAAGAAGCAAAGAACAAACATTTCATTTTCACAGTTAGTCAGTCAGTCAGTCACTCTCCTGATGGTAAGAGCATTCTGAGCACAGAATAGACTCCCCATCAATTCTCCAAGTTGCAGCCTCGGTAGCCTAGCCCCAGCTTACACACAGACCACATCACTGCCTGCCAACCCCATGTAAATCATTTGCTCCCCTGTGTCCTCCGCAAACGGATCGGGGGGAGGGGGAAGACATGGAGAAAATCAAGGGAGGGGTTTATTTATAAAGAATAAAATGAGCTCAGTCACAGCCCCATATCACTGCCAGCCTTTAAGGCTGTAGGAGCTGAGCACTTAACCAAGGGGAAGGAGAGAGAGGTGGGAAGCTGGTGCTTCCATTAGTGCCTTAATGGAGACATTTTTATTTAATCTAATTGCTTGCTCACATCACTTCTGTGATTCTGCGCATGCCTGTTCTGCACCTGAAGCTGAAGAGGTGGCTGTGACCACAAGGGAAAAGGGTTCAAGAGAACTAATGCTACAGCCCACGCTGACCTCAGCTCCCTAGAAACTCACTAAATGACAGTCAGGTGCTGGGGTCTGAATCTTCTGCAATGCAGAAGGCCAGCCATTCCTGCCTAGGCAGACCCTGCTTGTGTGCTGGTGTGTGGGGCGGGGGAGATATGTGGAGCTCACATAGCAACGGCTGCCTGGCCTGTGCCATGCTGTGGATTTGACAGAGCTCTCCCTGCACACTGTTGCCAAGATGCCTCCATCTGGTCTCCCAAGTATAAAACAGGGCTAATCCAGAGCTACCTTGCAGGGGCAGTAGAGATTTGTTACTGTGGGAAGGTGGAAAGTGCTCTACAACATCTCTCTCCCTCTCCCTTATTAATCTGTCCGGACCAGGCTGTCATGGTTCAGCCACTAGGTAGGAAGCCCTTGAAATGTAGCTGCTGTAGGGGAGTGACACCAGCGGTGACAGTAGAAATCTTGAGTTGTGTCCCAGGGGCTGGACAGAGTGGACAGCCTTTTGTGTTCATCTTTAACACGGGATCTCTCCTGCCCACACCTGAGCAATCACACACACACACACACACACACACACCCCCAACCCTGCCACCACCCCCACCCTGGCCATTTGTTTGGATTGTGAGTACAGCCACAGCACCATATGCACAAATGTAGGCAGACAACTGCACCAAGCTACAAGAAGGATGCCATGTCACATGTGGACTAGTGCATGGTTACACAAACACTGACTGACCACAGCATCCAAAAAGGAGCATGTCCCGGTAGACTTACCTGCCCATCTTCGTACTGCTTTGATTTCAGCAGAGCAGGCTGCAAGGAGAGGAAAGAAAAGGAGGCATTTGGAGATTTTCAAGGATTCAGATGAAGTGCCAGCTTCCAACTCTACCAGATAGAAATCCCACAGCAGTGATTTATACAATATAATCCAGCAATGCCAAAAGGTCCTTTGGGCCACCAGAGTGGAAGGGAAGCTGAAGAACAGCACGTGGAAGGAAAAGACCCCATGCAGGTTTTACTCAGGCCAGGTCTACTCAGCATTTTTCTTCCCATTTCCCACCCTTGCATGAATACCAGTGCAGCTCCCCAAAGGGAATGCTGGTGCAGGCAAGGCTGCTGGCCCCTTAACCACCGCCATCTAGACATGAAGAAAAGGCTGTTGCAAAGCAAGGCCTTAATACCTCCGAGATTCGGTATCACGGTCACACAACCATCTAGACATGAAGAAAAAGCTGCTGCAAAGCAAGGCCTTAATATCTCCGAGATTCGGTATCACGGTCACACAGGAGGTATTTTGCAGGGGAACATATGTGCCCTGTTGCCATTTCTTACACAGTTCCCCCACATAAAGAGCAGCTAGTACAGCTAGAAGCAATGAAGAGCTGGCAAGTCCCCTGGATTGCTGGCTGGAAAAACTATTCTCTGTTCCCCAGTTCCTGATACACACAACAGCACAAGGCATAACCGGTGTTTTAATAAGGACTACACAGCTGTCCTACTTCCTCCAAGGCATCCCAAGTGTACAAGACAGAGTGCAGCAGTAGCAGGGCAGGGAGGAGTCAACAAAACAGAGCAAAAAATAACCTGAGGAAACTGTCCGGGGCAAGGGAGTGCCACACATCAGATGTGAGAGAGATGGAAATTCATAATCTCTCAGGGGGAAAAGCAAGCAGAGGGAAGGCCTCTAGCTGTGCAAAGCTCAACCTCATCATTGACCTTGACCAGCTAGTGGGGTCCAGTCGGGCTTTGGCCTTAGGGTTTGACAATCCAATCAGATCAAGTCCCACTATGTGAGAAAATAGGCCCTGTGGCTAGAAGAGCAGGAACCAAGAATCCTTTGGATTTTTGCTGTTTTAAGTGTAAAAAGAGGGCTGGATAGGTGTCTTTGCTAGTCTTTGTGGTGGCTGCATGGACAGAGATTGGGGCAAGGGCAAATTATTCACACTGGAGTTCAGCAAAGTGCAGGTTTGCCTGGCAGCAGCCCCACACAGCCAGCAGACACCTGCTCAAGAAGTCTCACACTTTTGCTTCCTCCCATCATCCAAGAGTCAGCTTTTGCTCCATGCTGGCCAGACTGCACAGAATTAGTCCATGCTACTGGAGCAGGAAAACAGGAGAGAAAGGGGAGAGAAGATGATGCTGATGCAGGATCCCAGCCAGTGTTCTAAGATGTGCTGCAGCGCAGCTTCACAGGTGATTCAACCGCCCCGCCCAGGCAGTCAGCTCCACGCCTGGAGCCCTGAGCCTCTGACTGGGCAGGGCTGATGAATCACTTGTGAAGCTGTGCGACCTGCAGCTTAGAGGGAACACTGGTCCCAGCCTTTTTATCCAGCACCTCTTGCTGGGCTTCTCCATTGTTTCAACCAAAGCAGTGCCAGCCAGGTGCAGTCCGCCAATATGCCTCATGGGGGTAAGGAGAGGCAGAGTATCGCCCGAGTGCCATATTATTGCTCAATTCCAGGTGTTACACACAAGCTTTCATCCTTAGAGACCTGGCAAGTGACATCCACGATTGCAGCTTTCGCTGGTGTAATGGGGAAGCAGATTTTTCTCCAAAGCAAGGCAGGTTCTAAAGGCCCCACCCCCATGAGCTCTTAGGTACCAAACGCTGGAGTCTGCTAGCCCAGCCAGAAAGCCCAGGCCTACCTTATCCTTGCGGCTCTTCATTAGTCTCCCATCCACAAAGCCTCCTTGCCCTCACTCCCTGCTTCTCTGCCTCTATATTTATAAACTCTGCCAGGCATGGCTGGCAGCTGGCAGTCACGTGGTACAGTGCACATCAACAGACGACTGAGTTCCTCTTTACAAGGCCTTGAAATACCCTAGAGGTTTGCGTGGAGGGAGTACCAGCATCTCATAACCCCATATGGAACCCTGGTCAGATTTCCTTATAAGTGGCTTTAACAGTAGGCTGCAGCTAAAAGAACAGCCATTAGTCCTGGAGAAGGGACTTTTCCACACAGGGATAAGCTGAAAGTTTCTTATTTCCCATCCTGTTTATTGCATATTAAAGTAGGCGGTGGATATATTTTCCCTCCATCACTGATTAGCTCCCTCCTTCCGCTTCAGCCAAGATATAATCCTGTTTTGGGGACATCACAACCGGTTGTTGTGAAAGTGATGGATGCCAAGCATTGTGGCTTTGAGTCCTCACAGCAGGATCAAGTCAGAGGAGCAGCTGGGAGCGGAGGAGGAGGAGGAGAAGGAGAGAAGCCAGGTTTAAATGAACCAGTACAAATCGACTGGAAATGGCAAAGGAATCCGTGAGCACAGGGGAAAAGAAATCAAAACAGAAATCTATTAAATCCTGTTTGTCCTGAAAATACTCAGGTCTCTATGGGGAAGGGTACCCAGTTCAGCATCACAAAAAAAAAAAAATCACAGGTAAATTTCTGAACACGGCTCCCGAAATACTACGGCATCTAAGGAGGACACAGGAAAGAGTTTCACTAATGACTAGGGCCACCCTGCATTTACAGTAGCATGACCAGGTGGGATACACTCACTGTCTCCTAAAAAATAATCCCTGTTGAAAAGGCAGCCGTGAATGCTGCATGGATTTGGCATAGGTAAGGACTGGGTTGAGTACAAGAATGGTTACTTACCTGTAACTGTTGTTCTTCAAGATGTGTTGCTCATGTCCATTCGAAGTAGGTGTGCGCGCCGCGTGCACCACGTCTTCCGGAGCGTTTTCCCTAGCGGTACCTGTAGCGCCGGCGGGGCGCCCCCTGGAGTGGCGCCGCTAAGGCGGGGCATAAGTACCCCTGCTGGCGCTGCCCCACCTCAGTTCCTTCTTGCTGGAGATTCCGACAAAGGGGAGGTAGGGTGGGAATCAAATGGACATGAGCAACACATCTCGAAGAACAGTTACAGGTAAGTAACCGTTCTTTTTTCCCATCACTTGACAAATTAATTTGGATTGCCCTGAGGCAGAGAACCCAGTGGGGGTATGTCTACACTACCACCCTAGTTCGAACTAGGGTGGTTAATGTAGGCAACCGAAGTTGCAAATGAAACCTGGGATTTGAATTTCCTGGGCTTCATTTGCATCTTGCCGGGCGCCGCCATTTTTAAATCCCCGCTAGTTCGGACTCTAGTCATCTGAAGAAGTGGGCTGTGCCCACGAAAGCGCATAATACCATCTACATGTTTTGTTAGTCTTTAAAGCTACCAGACTATTTGTTGTTTACGTTTTTTCTTATTTAAAAAGGTTACTGTTGTACATGAAATTTTAATACTGAAATTTATTTGCAAACCTCTAGGACCATATAATACATTAGTTTTATATTTAACAAAATAAGTGCAATGTGTAAGTAAAACTAGTTGTGCACATACTTTTAACTTTTCCTCTGTCGCTATCTCAGGGCCATCCTGTGCATACATTGCATCAGATCCTTTTCTCTTGCTAAGATCCCCTACGCTCCTGAAGTGATGCATAGGGGCCTTACGCTAGCTCTGAATGAGAAGCTCAGGATTCCTTTGACACTAGGCAAAACTTCAGCAGAAGTAACAGCTGTGTCAGTTTTAACACCACTTGCTTCCCCTGACCTGGTGAAGAAAGATTTGAGACTTTAGTTCTAGAGTAATGTGCATTAGTGAATAACCCTTTAGGGAACTATTTTAGACAAATCATGTTAAAGGAGAAGTTCCAGCCTGCACTAAGGTCTCATTTGATCACTGGTTCTGGAAGTGGCAGAGGTACAAGGTGGTTTGGAGCCACCATTCTACTTCCATTTCTCATCTGTGCTGAACTTGTGCTTGGTTCATTTGAGGATGCAACTAAGAGTGTATCTACACAACAGGACTTAACTCAAAATAAGCTACACAAATGGAGCCACATCAATTGCATAGCTTATTTCAAAATAAGTGTCCACACAGCACTTATTTTGCAATAAAGCACTCTTCCTCCAACTTCCCTTACTGCTTGTACAATGGGGGTTACAGGAGTCGGAGTATCTTGACAATATTTTGACATTTCAAAATAACTGCCTGCTGTGTAGATATGGACTAAGTTGTTTTGAAATAATGCTAGCTAATTCAAAATAAAGTTGCTGTGTAGACGTCATTCATGCTTAAATTTGACTCTTTACATATGGGCCTTAACAAAGATGCTAACTACCTTACCCAGTACAATGATAGCTTCCCCAATTATCACCCCTAATATCATTATCTCATAGACACTAACCTCCCCCTTTCCCTCCTCCCCCACGTTCTAATTCGGGAACATTCCCTTTCCGGCTGGTTCA